TAGTGTTTCAGTGACTCATTCTAAGGAGTGGAAGTAAATATCTGTCAAACATTACATGGCTTCCACTGCTTATGTAACTGATGTAGGTTCATGATGAAATACACCCTATTTTACTTAACTCATGTTAAGTAATTACAAACAAATCTTATTTGCTTGAAATTATTATCACCTCTTGTTTTAATTCTGTAAGTACGCTACCTGTAGGGTAAAATAGCTATTGTTAAGATACCGCTTTGATCACGACTTTATATATTATGGCTTCAGTAGCCTTGAAATACCTTCATCATTCATGTATTGTATATAACTCATATTTCATTTTCTATTTTATAAGTCTGCACATAATTTATCAGCTTCACTAGGTACTTGCATTTAATAGTGTCACTTGGTAGAATTTGAAATGTAGCTAGTCTATTCAGAAATGATGCAGCAACTGTGACTGGGATTATACAAAATACAATCTTATGAACCTGAAAAGTAAAACAGCATACTGTATATGATAATTCACTATAATTTACATATCATTCATATATATATTTCAGTATAGTTTGTCACTATTCATTTATGAAACATAAATACTGTTGGTATACACATCCTTCACAGTTCGATTTAAAGCCTGGTAGAATAATGAAATGAGTGTAGGTCATTGATACTGAATATGTATATTCCGTCCGATAATTTCTTCCGAATATTAATACTGCTATGAAATAATTAATCACTTCAATTTATGACTGAGAGAAGTTAAATGGGAAGGAATACGATTTGTTTTGAAGACATGATAACTGTTGAATTCAAAATAAATATACTTGTATTATTCAAGTTTCAACATTATCACAGTCACATTTAGGATGAAATAGCTTAGGACATTATTCTACTCGAATAAGATTGTCTTTATTTGATCAGATGTTACGTTAAAGATTTACCAAAAGGAGTTATGTACTTAAAGGACTATTCATTTATTCAATTTTAAGATTTCCCGGTGGCGTGTAACAAACTCGCCTATTTTAAAGCCGGTTCTAAACCCGGGAAAAGAGAGAAAGTTGGGGGTCGAATTACTTGATCGTACTCCGGAAAATCAATGCAGTTGCTACAGAAAATTCAAAGTTCAATGGGACGGGGCGGTGGAATCTCTGGAAAATCCAATCCGTGATGAAAGCAAAAATAAACACTGGGAAATGGATTGTAAAAGGAATCAGGAGATGTGGTACAGAAGTATTAGGAATCAGTGAGAGTACATGGAACGTAACTGCACTCAACAAATTGTTAGCTGCAAACTCAATAGTCTACTCCGGTCATCCCCACGACAACCACAAACACGCACGCGGAGAATGTTCCTTAGGACGTCACCAACAGCATCAACCAATCTCTTCCAGGATGGTGACAGCAAGATTCAACCCAAAAGATAGGAACGTTACAACTATTCAGTGCTACAAACAACGCAGACCAAGAGAAGGAAGACTTCTGAAAACAATTCGAAACAGTAATGGACAAGAAACCAATCAAGTAGTGACGTTAATATTCTAATGGGTGGTATGAATGGCAGCCAAACTGGAAGCAGACAACTTAGAAAGAGAACTCATCATGAGTTGAGGGTCTCTCTGTGAAATGAATGAGAAGGGGACATTTATGAAAACTCTGCTCCTTCAATGATTTGATGGCTGGAGGTAGCGTGTATAAGCAAAAGGATATACACAAGGCAACAAGGATCTCACCAGATCGAAAAAAATATCAGGTAGACTTCATTTCAATCTCATGTAAGAGGAAGCGAAGCTTATTGGACACAAAATCGGGAGGAGAGGTAAATATATTCTCGGACCACTACCTATTGCTGGGAATTTTCAAGGTCAAGCTAAGAATTAGTGAAACCCGACTGGGTAGGCACCAGGATCAAATAGAATTCCCCTCAGAGACCTCAGTGTATATGCTGGCGCCACTATTTCATCATGTTTGGGAGGAAAGAAAAGTATCTACCGACAGGAAGAAGACCTACCTTGTTCCACTTTCGAATACCGGTGACTACGGTCTTTTCAAAAATTGGTGTGGAATCATGTAAAATATGAAGTCGTGTCGTCCTGAAGAGAATAAAAGATAATGTGAATGCAAAACTCACCCCGGAACAAGCAGGATTCAGGAAAAGCAGATAGTTTTTGGATCAGGTTGCAACACTAAGCATCATCGAACAGAGCAAAGAATGGTAGTCAAGTCTCTACCTCAACTTCATCCACTTTGAAATGCCTTCGATAGCATTGAATGTGAAGTAATTTGGAAACTATTACAACACTATAAAGTACCACAAATCTTTATCAATCTCATTCAACAGCTGTATTACAATGCCATATGTCAGGTGATCCACAACGGAAAACTCAGCGCGACCTTTGAAGTGAAAATAGGAGTAAGACAAGATTACCTGTTATCACCGATGATATTTTTGATTAAGATAGACTTGGCCATAAAACAGACCATGGGGTGCAATAGGAAATGCATACGTTAGATTGACAAAAAGACCCTAGAAGATATGGACTTCTTGGATGATTTATCACCTCCGTCTCACAAAGTCAGAAATTTACAAGTCAAAGCGCACAAGTTAAGGGTGAGTGGCAGCGATAATAGGAATTAAAGGGGAAAAAGAGGAAATAAAGATGACGAAAATGCCCAGATTAAAAGAGTAAACACCAACCACTGTCAGTGGGAAAAATTTAAAGTAAGTTGTCTATTTCACTTACCTGAAATGGATCACACCCTTTCAAATTACAGGCGACACTAATGAAAATATCAGAGCTAGCCAAATCCAGAGCAAGAAAGCAAGATAGGCTTTCATCCCTCTGGAACTAGTATGGAGATCTATAACACTGGGCAGGTGGAAGCATCAAGAGCCGAATTTTTAACATTAATGTCAAACCAATGCTTCTGCATGTTTCAAAGACTTGGTACGCGTGTCATCAAAAGAATTTCAAACACCCTGCTGTAGACCTTCATAAAAGTATAATCCCTTCGATTTGACACTAGTAACTAGCATAATCCCTTCGCTTGATACCGATGTTCATATGGCCTGCCGAAAATGAAAAGGAAGCAGCGACGACCTCTAACAGTGCAGTGAACCTGATAAGAATCTGTTGATGGCTCAATGAATATGCTGTGGGAAATGGAGGTGGATCGGACAGACGCTGAGGAGACAGAACGAGTAACACGACTTACCAAACAGGCTCTCCATTGGATCCCGAATAGAAAGTAATGGGTTAGGCATCCGAGGATGGCATAGAGGGAATGATGTGAACAGGGAATGAAAGCTTGTGAGCAGTAGTTGAGCGAGTTGAAAATGATGATAGGGAACAGAGTCTAAATGAATGTATTGGTGAAGCCCTATGTTTCACTTGGAACCTAAGGCAATAGTAATAAATAATAATTATGTTTTGCTCAATTTTGACCAAATGTGAGTCGTTGTACAGTATATCCATATGTTGTTGCTAGAATTTTATCGACCAGTTACTAAGTTGTCGCATAACAATCATATGAAAAATGAAGTTATGCAAAGCATTATGCAACAAAAATATTCTATTGAACATATTAAGGAAATAACTGCAAAATTTAATGTATCGATCTTAAGAATACTCCATCTGTGTACAAAGTCTAGTATGCTCATTGAAGAAACAATAAAAAGAGACGCCACCACCAAACAAAACCTGAGAAACTGGTGTTTGGTAAGTAAATATTATTTTTCACTATTTTCAAAAGACTCCACTGAATGTTTTGAAAAGTAGTTTCACGTAATATTTTCGATAAGCTTTTTGTAAAGTAACAGAATTCGAGTACAACGCTATGCTAATTTGGACTCAATTTTTATTTTGTTTAGCTCATCGGAACCAACATGGTTTATGGTACAGGATATATGTAGTTGGTAAATGGTGAGTCTGACAGATATGTCATGTTCACACAGTCAGAGAAACTAATCGATGCACATCGGTAAGACCAACAGTTTTTATTCTATATCGAAAAACAATAGATCCTTCATTCTCAATACTCTTCGCTTTAAAAAAGCAAAATTATCTGCTTCTAATGAGTAACGGAGTCTATACAACAATTATGTAGTTGGTCTTCTGTTATCATTATTATTCGTTCTTTGAGTTACGAGTACAACATATGGCTTCGGCAGCATAGTTTAATCTGACTCTGTCCTCTGTCATCATTTTCAACTGGCTTTATGACTGCTCACAACCTTTAGTTAACCTATACCAAATTTAAAAAAAAGGATGATCAATACTTCATGTAATTTATTAGAACTGTAATAAAAAAGGCGTATAGACGAGTGGACTAAGTATTATGCTAACGATAAGTACTGCCACATTGGTAGGGCTGATTCAAAGACAGAAAAATTGAAACTACATTTATAGAGAGAATTAAATGAAGTTTAAAAGCATGGTTAGGTGTCTTTCAATTCAATGACTGAATGATAATGTGGTCATCGTGGATGCCGATGGCTATGACACCAGTAGCTCAATAAAGTCATTTTTCACTGGTGAATTTTTTCCAAACTAGAAAAAGAAAACTATGCAATGTTTCTTGTTTCTAACCGATTTCCTTTCGTGACAGAAAAATTAATCTGAGAATGCTACCTATCCACCTGCTAACTATATTCAACTTACAATAGACAAACTCATACTACTTGTTTACCCCTTGTGATAGTACTTATTTTCATAAAGAATATTATATTTACATGTGATCGGTTAATTACTTGAGATTATTGTACGCTATAAGAACATATACTCTAAAATTCTGTGAAATATTCAATATGTTTTGGGATATATATATATATAATCGTAGGTGTGAGTGAAAATATTTTGTGCAGCAGACTGACCAGTAAAATGACTTCTTTATAATACTGTAGACTAATACAACCAATATTTAAATTATATGCCCATTTATGTGGACACGTACATACATACACCTATGTATGCATATATATATATATATATATATATATATACGTTCATTAAGAGGCAATGATTGATTGGCTTCATAATTTAAATTCTTAAATCAATTAATTAGCCAGCCAGTTCATGAGAATGCATTTGTACACACAAGTGTAGTGAATACAAACTGCTCCTGAAAACTGATCAAAATTGTTCTTATCACCTACTCAACTGTATTTTGACTGTTCAAAATTTAATATCACTTTAAAAACAATACTGTTCCCCCTTAGTAGTGACGACATATACTCTTATTATTCTTCTTCTTACTATTATTATTGCTATCATTTTCCCCGTAGTGCACGAGGACCAAGTTTATTCAAAATGAGATGAATTCATTATGATGTGAAATACTGGTGAACTTTGCATGATAATAAGAGGTATTTCAATAATTCCTTTATTAATATATTCATTTTAGTTAATGTTATAATTGTAAAGATTTTTAACATTATACATCCATTATTTTCAGTTTAATATGTCGAAAAACGTGGAGAACTTAAAACAAGAACATACTCAAGACAATTTATCTGATGAAAAATTCACTCTTTATCAAGATAAATATGAAGCACTATACTTTATGGATTCAACAAAAGAATTATTTCATCCACTGTCTGGATCTACTTTACCGACGTCCATTATTGATGTGAACCAATTGAACACATCATCATCAGTAACAATAACACCATCTGTAGGTGTGCATTCACAGCCTGTACGTAATTTTCTACCCTCTGATCAGTGTCTTGGTAATTCTTTGTCTACATATGAATATGTTATACGTACAAACTGTTTAACAGAGAATTTATCAACCAATCCACAGTCATCATCATCATTTCAGACACTGCCTACTACTAATCCGGTGAATTCATCTGATTCACCAATTGACAATAATCATACAAACGGCAATATAAATTTATTAACCAATGAACAATCGACAACATCCCCATCTAATATGAACATTAAAATAAACAATTATACGATAAATAATGACAGTCCACATGATTTAAGTTATACAAATTCTACTACGCCTGTTTCTCAGTCATCACATTTTAAATCAACCAATGAATGTAGTTCACAGGATATCGCTGAACATTTAGGTATGACATACATAGATGAAAATGGACAAAATCATATTATAACAACATTATCACCACCACCACAAACACAGATTAACCTATCAAAATTAAAGTTACAACGTCAACAGTTACAACAACGACAACTTCACGAAGAGTTGCAACGTACACAAGATTCACGCAGAGAAATTAACTTCTTATGTAATCAAGTCAACAAACCTATGATATCACCCTCTTTAAATGACTACATCAGTAATACTGACAATTATAACAGTACTCACAGTTCCCTTCATGAAACACAACATTTACCACCTGTCAATAGTATTTCAGAACAATTTCTATCAAATTTATCAACTGATTTAATAATAAATAATTCATCAATCGATTCAACAGTTGCAGCTGCATCTAATGTGATGAGTTATATTCATCAGCATGGTCCATTAAATTATGGTACTGCAGAACAGTTGAAGAATTTAAATTATTTAGATATACGTACTCTCAATCATTGGAATACAATTGATTTTAGTTTAAATGGAAGTATAGATCATACGACAAATTATCGTGAATCACAGGTATATAATCCTAATAATAATAATACAAATAACAATGGTATTAACAGTGATGCTAATAATCGTAGTAACAATGTTATAAGTACAACGAATAATGGTATATTGAGAATAGATGAAGCTAATAATTTGCTTAAGCTACATCAACACTATCAACAAAATCCATTGCAATCACAACATCAACAACAACTTCAAACTGTGAACAATTCGATATTATCAAACTCTAGTGCCTTACAAATGGATAGTTTAAAAACTTATAATGGTTTGATAACTGCATTCAGTGTTGAAGAAGTTAGATCAGGATTTCAAGGAAATAATGAGCTTAATCCTAATTCTATAACAAATAATAAGAATTCAGAAGCTGCCCTTAATGTTGCTGCTGTAGGTGCTGCTAATTCGTCGGAGAATGATGAAAATGATGTAAATATGAAAAATACTACTGACAGTATCAATATTTCTGCGAATACTGATAGCAACAACAGTATTAATGATAATAATAATAAAAGGTCTACGTCGTTCATAGAAAATTTAAATTTCAGACCACAACAACAAAAATGTTATAGTTATAATCATTCTGATGGTAATTTTAAACCTGAAATAAAAAATTCAACACCAGGTATGTTCAGTTTCATGTACCCCATTATTATTATTATTATTCACTGAGATAATATTGATGATGATTATTTTTAGACATGATAAATGAATTTCTCTTAAAATTTGAAATTATACCTACTTTGAAACCCGAATGATTGTACTTCTAATGGAAAGGAGGAATCAGTATTTACGAAGAGGAAAGTATTACTACGAAATAAATGAAAATTTAAAGAAACAAAAAGAACTAAGTTATTCGAAATCTATTTGTTTGTTAATGTGTCGTATAAGATAGAAGACTGATGTAGGTGACATTCCATTGAAGGAAAAATATAAAAATAAATAGAGGAAATCTGACGCAGAATGCTTAAGAAATATAGATGGATAATAAATGCCTGTTTTCTCAGGATATTATGAGTAGCAACATCACTAAGCATTATCTAATCCTTCATACTAAATGATTCGTTCTTACAGTTTATTAATTGGTTACAGGATTGAGCATAAGCTGTCATTAGTTAAAGAACCATTGGGTGACATTATTTTGGTTACTGAAAAATACAGTGAAGTATTTTTTGTAAAATGTATGTTTTTCAGTGATCTCAGTCTAAATGCATATGGAATGGATGATTTCTTTCTTTTAATCCCATTCTATCACGTACAATGAAGAAATCTTAGGACTACATGAATTCATATTGCTACAAACAGCCCTTACACAGCGATTCAATTTTTCAAAATTTATATAATCGAGTTGATAGAAATTCGAGTGATTTTTCTGGCAAACAGTATGATCATAACTACGATGAAAATGTATAAACACCAAGGCAAATATGAAAAGTAATGAGGTAGACTATAATTATTTGTTACTAATTCAATTTTTATTTTCCTGTTGTTTGACTAGACCAAAACGTTAGGCCTCAGTGGTATGTCGCCTCCCTGTGTGGATGCTTCGACAATGTCTGATGATTAACTTGAAGTAATTTTGATGGATGGTGACTAGCAGTGAACTAGTCAGCCGGATGTACCTGCATTCGCCAGTGAATGATGGTGTTTCCACCGAGCCTCAAATTCAGTACCTATCGTTCTAAACTGGACGATACCTCCAGACCACTTGGTCCAGCACAGCTACCACCCCTTTTGCAACGGGTATCAGTCATCATACTTTTTAAAATTCGATTTTGATTTTCCCGTTGATTGATTGGACTATCTGCCAAATTACTGCAAGTTAATCTTCACACATTATCGAAGCACTAAGAGCCGACATGTCAACAGAGACCGAACACTTAGGTAGGACGGTACTGCTCAGCTACTGAGGCTTACGTGAGATTAGAACCTAAGATTCACTATAAGAAACTCAATCCGTATAACCAGTGAACCGCATTTCCACTGAATCGCACATATATCACACATCTTCCTTCTGAGGCTTAAATTAACACTCTTTAACCTTTTTCTATTGTCATCGTATGTATTACTTGAGCATTAATGGATATTCTTTCCTCTTTGATGTGTTTTAGCACTAATAAGATTTCATACAAATGAAGCAAAAATAAATTTTAAAACTTTACATATGTTATCAAACAACCAAATCGTAATTTAGTAAAATTACTGTTACAATTCTAAGTACTAAAATTAAGTGATCCTATATCACTGTAAATTCTAACTGAAAGAATTAGTTAAAACACTTCAAGTTATTGATTAATTTATTGTAAAATGTTAACCGTTAGAAATCAGAAAAGCTAAAGCATGACTAGACAGTACGTTTTGGTACAAGTCATTTTGAAGTATGGAGGTTAACTGAATAGTAGACACTATAACCCAAATATTTTTCACGCCCCATCGCACGTTTTGTTATTCAGTTCTCGTCACTTCTTCCCTTTACACTCTAACCAATTTTTATTTATGGCAGTTTTCTTTACGTCAAAAAAACAACAACACCAGAATGAATAGATGTAATTTAACGCCTGGTTCTAGATTTTTTTGTCGAACCCATAACTTCTTAAGTGAATATATATGACCTTATTTAAATGTTTAAAAATGATTAAAGCTCATTCATTTATATGAGTCCTAATCAATAGTAATTTCAGCAGTATCCCTGTTGTAAAAAACATCCTGTTTTCTTATACAGACTAATGGCCCTGAAGACGATGGTCAATTTTGTCTATTACTTCAACTTTATTTGTCGAAGTTTCCTCTTCATTCTTAGATGAAATAAAGTAGTAAACTAACTGATTTACACAGTGAACTGATATCACTTAAATGAGACTTCCCAAGTGACATACACTCAGCACTAGATTACTAACTCAATAAAAGTAAAAATAAAATATGAGACTGCTCATAATCATATCAAGGTATGATTATGAGCAATAAGCTGTGCTCGGAACGTCATCAGTATATATTACTGTATAACACTGTGAGACTTTATCAAAATAAAATTATACTTTACCACAGTGCATAAGTTTTATTCTTATATCAATAAAGAGAAAAAAGAAACGCACTTGTACCTGGAATTCACTTTCCTTAACATTTACATAATTTACATGTCATCATTGCGAAATCAGCTAAAAAATAGACATTTATATTTCACAACAAGATGGAAATGGTGATACGTTTGTGTGAATTTTATTATCATTCAATGCCCATCGTTACAAAATATGGTTATCAAAAGCCGTCCTGCAATCATTAGCACCTTGAATTCCATTTTCACACTGCTTTTACATGGTTCTCATGTATTAAGGTCATTGTATGGTATTTCTCAGCCTATGTTTTTACTTGAGAATTTCTGTTCTAAAGTTTTTCGTGACTTCAGGAGATACCGTCTGAATTCAAGGAATCTGCACACTGCCTTTTTTATACCCTTTAGCTTCTGATAACCATTGCCTACCAAGTCGGAAACATCCATTGTTTGGTCACTTTAAAGTTTTGATGTTTAAATAAATGTTGCACCTGTTGTCCAGGTTCTATAATTTCTGTTTATATACTTATTTTCTTACTGTCTCAGGTAGGCATTATCAGAATAAGACAGCATTACTGAGCAATCACATCTCACATCAGGGGAAGAGGCAAAGTGGTAAAAATGAAATAATGAGTAGTTAAATATGAGGCGACAAAATAGATGAAATAAAAGCAAATGAAAATGTTATAAGGATCCTTGTGAAAATAAATTATGAGTATTTCTAAAGTAATACTATCGAGTCTCACTATCTAGATATCAGTTTCTCTCGGACTCTCTCACATGCCTCACATAAGCTCTTTCATAGAAAAAACAGGGATATATATATATCCCTGTTGCTATTTCTGAAACAAAATGTTTAAAGAAATGCAAACGACCGTTATGTATATGGCTGCTGAGCAAAACACACGATGTCTACGCTGACTGACATAAGTTTTCGTATGAAATTAAGTAGTACCTGAAGATGAGAAATTTAATAAAGTTACTTTCAATCACACTATTACTCCGGTTTCCTTCCTCTCTTGGTGGTAAATCTTAAATACGAAATTAGTCTTCAAATGAATGGTATGTACTTTTTTGCTATTAATCTAATCCATGTGAGGGATGTAGATTTCTTGAATTTTTTGCAGCTTATGAATTTATCAAAATAAATTATTGGAAATCTGAAAGATGCAGTTCAAAGATAAATAAAGTATTTTAAATGCATTTATGCCTTGTTTTCAACTAGATTATAATGTAATAAATAATTATTTGCCTTATCTTTCCAGTTATGACAATACACCCTGAGATAGCAATAGATTGGTAGACCACTCTTGAGGCAGTGGGTAATGACTGATGAAGGTATGCGTCACTGAAGGATTCGGACTAGCTACCTCGGGATTACTAACCAGACTTTACAACTACTTAGCTGTGAGATTCAACTGTTAATCCGATCATTATTCCACTGCAATCATAAGCAGTAATGCTCTGACGCATGTTCACTTATTATCTAATACTGTCTTAAGATTTCTCATGTTGTTCTCTCACCATCTTCTCTATTCTCAGATGCGACTATGTAAGGTAGTGCAATGCCGACTCACGTATAGTGATTTCAAGGTATAAATCAACATTTGTAAAATCATATTTGTATAAATCTCAAGGGAATTGACGTTTCGTTCAGAAAACTAGTTCAAACTTCTTCAGAGAAATAAAGAAGAACAACTCCTGGAATAATTTGAGCGCTGAATCAGATTTTAATCATTATAAATTATTTAAAATAATCCCAGTGTGTTTACGAAAAATCGAAACAAGATTTTTCTTCAGCAGTGCTTTCATGAAAAAATTTTTGAAGAATATCAGTTTGCATAGTTTAGTGAGGGGGGAGTAAAAATTTCCTTAAACAATATTGTTAAAAATGCATTCATTGTTTCTCACCCAGTAGAACTTATTCAGCTAGTTTATGATATTAACTCAATTACTTGAGTATGTGTTGATGTGACTGATTTCAACTCATTATAAATGTAGGAAATTTAAGGTTTTATAAATATCGCTCATAAAAATATAGGTCGAATATGTCCTACTAATTTCTAAATGAACACATACGAACAAACAATTCGTCTGTGTTTCATTTTACGACTTAAAGTACAAATTGGGTAATCTTCACATTTATATTTAGTTTTATTTACGTACCATGATTCAGAAATGGTGTTTCAATATAATAAAGGTTTTTGTATTTCCCAATGAATGAAAAACAAAACGATGGTGTTTCAAGTTAAAAAAACAACAACAACAACCTAAGTCTCATCACGAGTTGAGTGGAGTATGTTAAGTTTATTAAAATGATGATCAAATGATCTTACTGGCAATCAACGATACATTCACATACGTAATTTTGAATAATTTTGATGGGAGGATAAATGATGAACTGGCCGAGCGATTAGCTCAAGAAAATATCAAAACTGAAATTTCATGATTATGTTGATTATGTTGCGAAGCATTAAGCTGAAGCAAATTTTCGCCATCTGAAAAATACCGGTTAATATCTTGATGTTACACACTTTAACATAATTTGCCATCTTTGTGTGCGAAAATCAGACTGTTCATGGATGTTGTTAGTTAGATTTTGTTAGAACTGATTGACAAACTGTTAGAAATTTAGAAAGCTATTAAAATCACACTTGAGCGATCTGATTAACTTTTACGAACAGTGCTCTTCGTTTCTTTCAATAAGTAAGCAAATATATGCGAGATTTCGATAAAATAAAGCTTGTTAGATTGAAGCCTGATTTGACATTTGGAAATAATGTACTGTTAATACTTTTGTTAATGAATGTTCGAAATTCATTAGTCAACCTACGGTTTTTACTCAGAACTCTATGGTTAATATGGTGATTATTTTTCCTACGATTTAACTACATCCGAAAAAACTAAATTGTGCGAAATATTTAGCCCGCCTCTCTCATTCGGCCTTACTGATCAGGCTTCAGATCTACGTAACTGAAGGAAGCACATAATGCTTTAATAGGTAGCCTGATATTCTGAGTATAGCGTAAATAGTATAATGTGTTTAATGACAGAAAAAGAATCTTCTGTCTACTGTAGGCATCCTGAAGAGGAGAATTTTTGGCGATAACAGCTCTTTGTACAGTAATTTAATTCTTCAAAAGAAATGGAAGTGCCGTAAGCAACAGGTGTTCATGTCAAGAGCTATAAAAACATTTGCTAAATTGTATTTGAAACATGCAGATAACAGACTACGTAATACACTCACTTGAAAGTTGGAAACTGAAGAAATTTACTTGGCCTAATGATTAGTTGTTTGATTACAAGTAACGCAGTTCATTGATGAGGTATGAACGGGTTTTTATAAGAAGTCATTCGACTCTTTTAGTTTAGAATAATGTTATATCTCTTAAATCAGTACTTAATCCACAGTTTTTTTCACTGTGTCGAAGTGCATACTCATTGTCGTTTGAAAAAAACCTTACTGCTCATTATTTTGTTCATTATAAAAAAGGCAGAAAACATTAGTTCATTAGTCTTATGAGTTCACATTACGATTTGTCTAATCATAAAAACATGTAAAAGCTTTTAAATACAGAAAAAGCTCAAATATCCTAGGATTTTAATGTTGATAATGTAAATCGTCAACTGGCCTGTCTAGAGGAAAAGGTGATGGTTTTCAATATTTGTTTAAACGAAATAACTAGGTAATCGAATGCTTCAGTATCTTAAGAGAGAAGACTAAAAGTAGTCACACAAAGATATGAAAATGGCTGTCACATAAGAAATTGCTGACTATATGTATACAGTACGTATGATATTTTGAATCTATGACTGACATTAACTAACAAGGCTTAATAAAATCAATGACAACAGTTCATGAATTTTCACTTTTCATTACTGAAACACTTCACTAACCTTGGTCTATTTACTCTGTTGTTACCCATATCCTTCTTATTTATTCGAATATTTTTTCAGCATTTCTTTATTGACTTTCTATTGTTCTGTCGTTGAATAGTTATACTTCTATTTGTGTTCAAAATTCCATTTCTTTGTTATCTTTTAAAGTAGGTGTGACTTAAACAGAGAAATCTTCAGAAAAGACTTATTTTGTCATCTAAATACACGCCAAGTATGACAATCTTATAGTCTTTCATTTAGGTTTGACGACCACATTCTTCCATGAAGCATTTAGGATACTTCGTGAGCAATATTTCATGTTTGTTAATTCAAATTCTATAGGGTAAATTCTGCGGGAACAGTAAAATGAAGTATGTATGTAATTATGAGTTCATATTATTGTTTGACATAATAAGAAAAACGACACTGATTTTATACCTAAATTTACGGCGTTTGTTCAAAAAGATACGCTCATATATTTGTTTCACATTTGTTTCACACAAGTTCCAACCTATTAATTAGATATTTCAGAAAATTTCAGTAATATATGCCATGTCTTGTAGTTCGGGAAATATGAATCAACAATACAACAGTCTGTGATACGTATTTTTCACTATTCCAAAATGTCTAGAACTTAAGTTTCATGTTTACAGATGCTCGTAATCAACGCATGCATTCAACTTCAAAGTTACTTCTGTCTGTAGTCAAGATTTGACAGAATAGTTCTATAATATTTGGGCGCCGAGTGAGAAGTATGAGGTCAAATTTTGATCACAACTCATACAATTTTGTTTATTATACTTGTTAATATTTGTTTTATAAATCATGATTGGACAAAGTTTTTAAAAACAAAAGATGTTCCTTTTATGTATAAACCTGTTATGTTAATTTCGATTAATTTCCCTGAAGAAGTTCGGACCAGATTGCCGAATGAAACGTTGGAATTACTCATTTCAATATCGCTGAGATTTTACAAATATAATTTTTTACAAATGTTTACTTCTGTCTCCTCACATAATGGGACCCACATCACCTAGTTCTTCAGTCATAGATGTTACCACTTAAGTAATGACTGAGAGAACTCAATCAGCAATACTAAGCACCAGATACTTGGCACTGGTGACTCCCGGGTGATCAGTCTATGTAAATACTATCTTTATTTGGTGACAATATAAATATGAGAAACATTTAAATTTATTTTAATCCCACAGATGAAAATTTTATTATTTTGGTACAAACGTATGTATTTTAATGTGACAGGTAGGTTCCTGATGTATTCATGCTTAATATTTCAGTCCATTATATTTATTTGATATCTTTGAGACTAAAATTTTTTTTTTAAACTCTATATTTCTGAAATAATAGCTTAGATGGATAGGCTTTGTATCTACACCAGGAAGCTAACACAGGACTTGATAATGTTTTATGAAACTTCAAAATTAACGACTCTATCTCTAAGTTTCAGATCTACGGAGTCCCAATACAAGCACTTATTTTAATTTTTACTTGTGTTGTGTGCAGAGTAACCGTTATATACATTACATTCTATTTATGGAGACTTTATCAAATAGGAAAACTGCGAAACGCAGTTCTGTGCAAAATATTTTCATATTTAAAAACTGTTTATATTTTGTGTTTTTGAAGGTATTCAACATATGCAAGGACATCCATGTCGTTCAGTGCTAATGAATAGCTCATTGGGTTCATCACATATGAATTCCGGACCATTTAATTTACAAAAACCAATGTCTAATATGCATTCTAGACATGAACTAATTTCGCATTCTATTCAAGAAATGGAAGAAATCAATACGAAAGTATTAGCCCAGCGTATCAGTGCTGAATTAAAACGTTACAGTATTCCACAAGCTGTTTTTGCTCAACGTGTTCTATGCAGAAGCCAAGGTACACTGTCTGACTTATTAAGAAATCCTAAACCATGGAGTAAACTAAAATCTGGGCGTGAAACATTCCGAAGGATGTGGAAGTGGTTACAAGAACCAGAGTTCCAACGAATGTCGGCTCTACGCTTAGCTGGTAGGTTTTTTTTGTTTATTAATTGTTCTTAATTTTAGGTGATTTAAAATGTGATTGTTTGTTTGTCAGTGCGATTTCTTAAGCTTCCCATTGAATATAAATAGATTTTCCAGTTTTTAGAAAAATCACTAGATGACTTAGTGTGAAATTAGTTACTCCTCCATGTTAGTACTGCTGGAACTCATCGAATAATAAGTCGAACTGCTTGATTTATTATTTTGGGTTAGATCACCTTAGATGTTTGTTTTCTTATTGATAAACCTTATTAGCCTTCATTTTCTACTGAAGCGCGAATACTTTCGGAAGTTTAGGTTACTCAAATTTGTCCAATATACATTCGGACGAACTATGTACATGTATCAGTTGGACAGTCTTCCAGGAGATCACGAACTTTCAGAAAACAGAGAACTACTGACTGAACAGCTATTTCGCCCTTGTTTCAACGGTACGCAACAATGATCCCACCCATCAAACGTGGAACACCGAATCTTTAAGTTACGTGGAGAGCCTGTTGATCATTCAGCTACTAGGGCGGAATGCAATGATCCAAGCATCACCGTCAGCCAAGAATGAACGCAAACATCATGTTTCTAGGTTATTCGAGTGCATCGGAATAAACGCATCCAAATATTATTTCACTCATAATCCTATATCTTTTGAATAATTTAGCAGCATGCCGGTCACTTTCAGCCTCAACCGATATCATCGGCTAGTATTTCTCCTCACACCCTGTTTGGTGGACTCAACTGGTCGCCAATTCTCACTACAACTTCAGGAAGCTTCTCCCTGCAGTCAGTGACTAGTGGTATAAGGGTCCTTTCCAAATGTCAATTCGTATGTAGAATACGTCTAAAGTAAAGTAGCTGGGAAGTTAAGCGGATAGTTATGTGTAATATTTCTGTGTTTGTATTCTTTACTTTCTATCTTGAAGTGTATCAGCTTTAACTCTCAGATTTCTTTCCAAAGTCCTACTCTCATTGTTTTATTCTTCAAAAAAACAAACTTTCCTACATTTTATTTTATTTTTTATTCTTTCCACTTTACCGCTCTCACCTTAGGATGCTGTAACCAACTGTAACCAACACAGATACTACAAAGATTTTATCTACATTCTTTTACTTTTACTTTACACCATACTCTAGATAGTAATTTTATGTCTAAATTCTTTTATAGTACTTTTAGCAAAGCTATATCTAGACTGAACTCACAGGGCATGTTGCAAAGTCATTCAAAAGATATTGGATTATAAGTTAACTGGTTTTTGGACTTATTTATTCTTATATATTTGAATAGCCTAGCAACATTTTGTTTGTCGTCAGCACTATATCTACTATCGCATGGAATCACATGAAAAGAGGAACTGTTAATATCCTAGGGACTACCTAATACACCTTAAAAAGTCATATACAAACATTCAGTGTCTTGATTTACGGAAAGTGATCTTATTTTAATAAAATATAAAATAAAGAGTATCATTTCTTTTATTGATATGATAATGTATAATAGATATGCAATTGTACAGCTTAACAAGTATATCGCTAAAATCATGTGTCATATGGCATAATGGAGATTTATAAGCTAACAAAATAATACATGATGTAAAATATCCTAATGTGATCACCATCATTCAACTTATACAGAGATTTGGAAAAAAATGGTGTTCTGGGCTAACAGTGTGAGACATGTCAGTGAGTCATTCAAAAGATATAGGATCATGAGTAAACTAGTATTTGGACACATTTATTCCGATGTTTTTGAACACGTAGTTTACCTTCAGTCGTACTTTATGTGTCAGAAAGACTTCACTTTAAACTTATGTCACTAAAATATAATTCGTAATTAATGACATACATATACACTGTCAGAGATCTTCCACAGGATATAAAAATTCTTCAAAATGTTGACAAATGTCATGTTTTTAAAAATGACAACTATATATTACAGTATTCTAATCTTTTGTAATCTTGACACAATAAGAGAATAATATTCAATTTTGTATATTATGTGTTTGAAAACCAAATGAAGATATATTTTTTTTAAGTGGTTGTAATATTATACCCCGTTGTACATTTAAATGATGAAAACTGGAGTTACACCAAATGAATCAGAGATACCTTTGCAAGCCTGATTGATAAGACTTAATCTGTATTCATAAAATTTAAAGAATTGTTTGCAATAATAATAATGACATTGGCTCTGTTCAAGCATAATTTAAGTTAAAATCATGATCTTTGCACAGCTATAGCTTACTGATCACGAATTCAAATTGTTGTTCACCTGCTGCTGAATCGTCATCTATATGACATCGGTTGCCTGTAGTCTAACTATATGGAATTTTCATACATTTATTCCCCTTAATGAATGTGAACAAAGCAAGAACTAGAGATTTAGCAGAATAAAATGGTACCATCTTTTATTTCGTTGCCTTCTCGTCAGCTGCTTACAGGCCAAAGACATTATTAGATATATCTACAAAAACAATTTTGACATACTTGCACAGAGTTCATTTTAAACAAAAATCAATCGATCACTATATGCATACGGTAATTATATATATATATTAAACACTGTTCTGAACATTAGTAATCATACACAATGGAAACTTTTCAGCATTACGCATTCAGATGAAAGAGAGGTGAAAATATCCAGTTACCAGAGCAAAGAAAGACTGATAACCGCTTCTTTCTGGACGCACAAATCAGGTTTCAGGCGCTTGATGGAAACGGCTTCAGCAAACTTGAGGAGAATTGAACTCTTTTGCCTACTGATAATTTTGAATAATTTTTTGACGTCCACCTCATGACCCGTGTCAAGGAGATGCCTGGCGATGGCACTCATATGGAATTTTGCGTAGATGTCATCATCTAAACTTTTTCCATTCAGTCACATTAAGCTTAAGTCCAAAAAGGTTATTTAATCAAAAAATAACAAATAAAATTTGAGAGAAGTTCCTATCAAATTTTTAGTTTAAAATTTCTAAGTTATCAAATAGGTTTATTTTAATTAGTAATTTTTTTAGAAATTTTACTGATTTATTTAATATATGCTAAGTGACTACTTTTTAAATTTGTCTCTTTTACATCTCTGTCGTTGTTCTTTTTCGTTTTTCCCCCCTATTTCACTTTCCACTAACAAAACTGTTATTTACCTTTCATTACATTGCAGCTAAACAGTCAAACAGTTAGGCTAATTGACTAGGATTTTATTACTGGTTTCGCCATTATTATTATTATTATTATTATTATTATTATTATTATTATTATTATTATTATTACTGTTATTGTCCTAATTGTCGTTTTTGTAATTATATAGGAAAGAAACCTTCATTTCTGTTGTCACTACAGTTTATATTAGTAAATATTTAGACAAAAGAAGTAGGCAATGTTAGTTATAAAGACAAAACAAACGAACAGTAAGCTTAATTAACTTCAACTTCTGGAACAGTTCATACTGTGTAGATCTGTTTATTCGTATTTCCTTTTTAACACTGGAACCACACCTCTGTACTAAACTTTGTGCACCAAATAGGTTGTATTCATTGAGTACTCAATTCATTTTTATTTTTTATATTCATATATGGGAGGAATTAATTAAATTTGCAAAATCTATCAAAACAATAATAATGTCAATTTTTGCAAAAGTAAATTACTTGAGACTTTTCATACAAATCATAACTGAAACAAATATTTATTAGTAATGATGACATGGGAGCACTGTGATTAAGGTTAAAAGAAAGATTATGTCAAATGGAATTCTAACCAACGACACTGTTATACACCACATTTTAAGTTCAACTTCATATGTCTCAACCCGTGAAGGTACAACTAACTGTATTAGTTAGGTCGATGATCAAATGCACTTTTTATTCTATGACATGCATTCAAAAATATGCTAGACTTAGTCTGCAACTTAAAGTATGATAAAAGTCAATTTTAATAAATTGTGACTGAATCTGTGCTTATTTTAAGAAAAATATTTACGAAGCTTTTATTTCAAATTAGTAAGCGATAAAAGCTATCATGAGAATGGAAAGAAAATGCTTATATTGTTATTATGGGTTATGGGTTCAATGAGGATACAGGAATATCCAAAATCTCTCCCGATTTTAATTGGAACTTCTCAATTCTATGTACGCCCTATGCCCTATGAAACATTCTAGGAATGTTTGAATGTTGAGGTACACACATGGTTTATCGGTTTAGGAAACTAAGTTTGATAGAATGGGTCTTGAGTTTAAAATTTACTTCACCTGTTTAGGCCTGATCAATAGGCAAGTATCAGTGGTTGCAGAGCCTGTGAACTAACTTAAAATCGTCCAAAAAGGTGCAGATATATTCACTCCTTGTCATCTTCCATATGCTGAAAATGTTCAGTTCATTTAATTTTACTCTCTCCAATGCATCTACATCCACTGTGGTATGACTGTATTTCTTTTCTCTACTTTTCCTTTATGTGAGAAGATGAGCTGATTTAGCTTTGTGCGTAGATCTGTATTGGTAATTTATACAGTTACAAGTCGTCATACACCGAGTATGGCTCCTAGTTTGGTATATAAACTTGTACAGCGCCAAAGAATTGTTTATTCTTATTAGATAATTGTCCGAAATTTAATTACTTACACATTCTAGATATAATAAATTCATTAGTAATCAATGGGCATCTTTTCATTTTTTCGATTTTGTCAACCAAAAGGTTAGCGAATTCTCACTAAAATTATGGATAGATATGCTATTATCCAGTTAGAACCAGCTTCAAATAAATGACCAGAACTACATTCAAATGAATATCTGTTAACTGTAAAGAAGTGAAATGGAAGTCAGCACTGAACGTCAAAGATTCTGAAGTACTCTATATGTAAATATTTTAGTGATAAGGATATTAACGCCAATAACCTTCTTATAGATGAACTTAAATATTGAGATATAATGATAGTACTAAAAATGTAAAAATAACAGTTTGATCTTATTGTTAAACAAATAGAATTCTTTGTTCATTAACAA